GAGGATATTGTTGTATCCTGAGCATACATCGACCTTTGTGAACCATTGCGCCTTGTTGAGTTTCGCAAGCAAGGGTGGTATCAAAGGGAGTGGGTACGCGTTCTTGATCGTCCATTCATTGATGTATCGATAGTCCTGGCAGGGGCGGAGAGATCCGTCTTTCTTGCCGACAAAGAAGAATCCAGCAGCTTGAGGAGACTTCGAGGGTTGGATGAAATCTTTGGCGAGGTGTTCGTCCAGAAATGCTTTGACAGCATCGGTTTCCTTCGGTGAGAGCGGGTAGGCTCGAGAAGACTTCGGAATGAAGCCTTCCTTCGTTTCGATCTTGTGGTCTACCCCCGGCCGTGAGGGAGGGAGTTTGTTCAGACCATCCTTTGCGAAGATGTCAGCAAAATCATGAAGATAGGAAGGTACCAGTTCTTCAAATGATTTCTTCTTCTTCTCCTGCGCGTCCTCCATAGCAAATTCTTGAGTTTTGTTGGAGGTCTTCGTGTAGTCCTGCTGAGAAGCGAGGATCCAGAGGTTTCGGAGAGGTTTTGCTCGTCTGTGGAGAGCCCTCTGGATTTCTTTCTTCGAGGTCCCGTCCTTGGTGAGCGGGGTGTCGAAAGAGATGTTCTCAATGATCCGGACGGATGTTCCGTCCGAAGCATATTCCACTAGAACTTCATCGTCAGTGAGAGGATAAGTGGAGATCTCCTCAACTTTATCCGCGAGATGGGTCTGTCTGACCCAGACATCGTCCATAGTGTTGAAGTCGGTGTCTTCGAAGGGCACGATGATTGGCGCCGTTTTCTTCTTGTTACGCTTCTTGCGTTTCTTGATTTCTTCGAGGCAATGTTGGGTGCCTTCGGGGAGTCATTTGAGGGGTGAAAAGTCCTCGTCGTCGAGTTCTTCTAGGACAGCCTTTTCTCCGCGAAAGAGATATGGCTTGGCCTTGCTTTCTCGTCGAGAAGCGTTGAGTTCCCTCTCCACCTCCTTTGACCTATTGGTCGCAGGCAGGGAGATCGTGTTGGCCTTCCAGTCGATATTGGGCATCATGGCACTAAGCCAAGGTTTTCCAAAAAGTAGATCATCATGCTTGGAAAGTTTCGTTACGTTGAACTTTCCATACATAAGTCTCTGATCGAGACAAATGAATAGCATGCAGTATTGGGTTACCTGTCCTGCCGAGGACAGGCTCCCGTCTACTGTGGTGATCCGGAAGGGTTTCTTGAGTTGGTGGGTCCGGATCCCATTTCGCTTGACGAAGTCATAGCTAATGAAAGTCCCACCTGCCCCTGAGTCGATGATTGCGGTCGACTGAATGGTTTTGGCACTGCAAGAAGAGAAAAGTGTCACCGGGACACGAAACTCGTTGGATTTACCAACAGCTTTAGTATACAATGCGCAGATAGAGGGAATTGACCATTCGACAAGCCCTCTCTTTAAAAATCCTTTCTTTTGACAAGGTTGACTTCGATGTCTTCCTCGTCAGAAGACTCGTCAAGCTGGCGGACGCCAGACTTGCTTGGCTTCTTGCCTTTGTCTTCTTCGTCGTTCTTGTCTCCTCGGCGCACCTTCGGGTGGAACCGGGAGTCGTTTGCTCAATGGCCCTTCTCCTTGCATTTGAAGCAAAGGCCTTTATCGAAGCACTTCTGTCGTTCCTCAGGCGTGAGGGAATGATCGACGTCCATAGCATCAGGATCGTGTTGGCGGACCTGAGGTTTGGGGACGTGCCAGTGGCCGGAAGGGCGTACCGATCTGTTGTTGGACACAACTGCTCTTGATTGCTTGTAGTTGGCTTCCAACTGTGTCACGGCAGTGTACCATTTGTCGATGGTGGTGGGGATGACCTCCTTCCCGTAGATGGCGGTTAGAAGTCCTGGTTTCAACCCTCGTTCAAAGAAGTGAATGAGGGCGACATCCTGCTTGAGACTAGCAGTGGATGACAGGGTCTTGAACGTCGCAATGTAGGGCATCACGTCGCCGGTTTGGCTCAAACCATGAAGCTTGGTTAGAGCCTCAGTCATCCGGTCAACCGGGTGGAAGGATTCGGTGAACGCCTTCTTGAAGTCCTTCCAGGAACCGAAGTCGATGGTAGGTTTATCGAAGGCTGTTCAATAGAAGGTGTCAGCCCAGACACAGGCGTCCCCAGCATTCATATACTGGAGTGCAACAGCGACCTTGGTTTGGTCGGAGCTGTAGATCGTCGGGTTGATGAGGAAGTATGTCTCCACTGAGTACATCCAGCGCTCGGAATCATCGATGCTTCCATCAAAGTTCTGTGGTACTCCAGCCTTTAGTTCAGGCCTGGATACGACCACTGTCGGTTGTTGGGTGGGGCCTCCGGACATTCTTGTTCCAGGGTTCGAGTTGAGGTTGCCGTACGGTTGTTCGTTGGGAAACTCATTGGAGGACGTGTGGTCTTCTTCCGATTCTTCTTCTTCGGAGTCCAGAGTGTTGGGATCACGTTCCCAAGGGTACTTCGGGATCCAGGTAGTCGTGGTGTCTGTCGGTTAATGGGCCGTGCGGATGGCAGGGCGCAAAAAGGAAACTTGAATCTTTTGTTACGCACTCAAATAGATCTGTTATGCGGAGCCCTAAGAGGGGTGTCGTCCGCTAACGTTCGTGACGTAACCGGAAGGGTCCGGTGTAGCGACTGAGACTGGCGACGACGAGTCGGCAGATATCAGAGACGCGCGTGTCACGTGACTTCTAAGACAGATGTCTTTAAAGTCACTGACGTTCTCAAAGTAAGGACAGTCTTGTCCGAACGATGAGTAGTCGATCGAGGTAGACTTAGGCGCGATGAGCACCTAAGAAAAGATACTAGAGACTGAAGCTGAGGGGGCTTCAGAGGGAAGTATGTTCGAGGGAAGATTGAGTAGATTCAAGTTAGGGAATCTAGTACAGGGTGACCGACTACTTATACTAAGTGGAAAGGGTTAAGGGCAAGGCTACCGTACTGTAGGTAAGGGCAAAGGGGAATCGGAAAGGGTATAGGTACACTGGTAGCAGAGCCTGATTAGTGATGTGAGGTCGAATGCAGAATGAGACCGAGAAACGTTGGAATGAGCCAATGGTAAATGATACAATGCGCAGCACGCATGAGTCAGAGGAAAGATAAGACAAGATAAGGAAAGCCACATTGGTGGCACGAGTCAGAACGAGTCATAGCCTGAAGGCACGTGCGCACGTTGGTGCGATAGGAGGGGGATGAGGGACGGGAACGGTCCCGAGGATCCGGTCAATGGATAGTCGGTAGAGAAGTACGAGCCGGAGGCATACGAGGGCGAGGACGAAGGGGAAACATGATAGGGGGGCCATGTAGCCGATGTTACTTGTAACACCGACTCTAATACTGGATTCCAAGGTCGAGGGATAGGGGGAATCACAGCAGGAAGTGATGTATTAAAGGATGTGAAAATTTGCGCTTCATGTACGAAAACGCAGAGGTCAGGAGCCATGATGAGCACGGGTGATGGATGAGATTGGTCCGAGCGTTACGTGGGTCTGGAGAGATGGATGCAAAGTAGACACGAACGCGACAGTACAAACCGTCGCGCCAGGACCTAGAGGGGAGGTGTATACAAGATAGACGTGAACACGACAGTACAAACTGTCACCCTAGTACCTGTGGGAGAGAAGGACCTAGAGGGATATGTGTACGAGATTGATACGAACGTGACAGTACAAACCGTCGCGCCAGGGGAGATGTAGATGTGTGTCAAGGTAAGAATGGATGGGATAGGTAAAACAAAGTCAAACAAAGTGAAACAAAACGTCCTAACCTAACCAAGTCTTCATTTGCTTCAAGTCTCCAAAGCTCAGTGGTATGTACTGCTGAGTCTTAGCTCCCACCGTCTTCTCTTCTCCTTGCTCGACTGGCCGCATCACCCAGGGGTCTGTACTGTCGTTGTGCTTCTGAGAAATAGGCGATAACTACGTGGTGAGTGGCTTTTTGATTTAGACTGAGTCTCATACTTAACTCTTCGAGCAGACATCTGCCATTATGCCACCTAGCGGTTTGTACTGCTAGGATGTGCTAGCGACAACCTCCAATTCAGCGCGGCGGACTTCCTCAAACCTCTAATAGGGTGTACCTTGGGTGCCTCGTTACTTTTGCGCTTTACCACCCACTGCCATTATGCCACCTAGCGGTCTGTACTGCTATGATGTGCTAGCGACAACCTCCAATTCAGCACGGCGGACTTCCTCAAACCTCCAATTATGGCATACCTTGGGTGCCTCAGTACTTTTGCACTTTACCCACCCAACACGCCATTTCACCCGTCAGGGGATTTTGTTCTTCAGTCATTCCTCCACATTGCCGTGGAGGGATTTACGGGATAGCAACTAGCAATTCGCAAAATCTACTAAACGAGAATAACCTCCTTCCCCGAACCATCCTGTCCTCTCTGAGTTCCTCTGATGTCATCCTTTCTTGCCTGCACTGCCTGATGGAAGACCCTTTCTACTTCGGCGGTGATGTCGTGTTTTATTACATGATGAAGATCCTCGCCCGCATCTCGTTTTGCTTCTTGAATGACTTCCATGAGCTTTTCGGCCAGTTCATGGAGTATCAAGATGTTGCTCTTTTCACGTACTGCCTCTTGGATATATGGTGCTTCTTCAAATACTGCACTTTGTGGAGGGTTGCTAGCGGGAAAGATGAACATGTGCATTGGTCTCATGCGCTGGGCGATGTCTATTGACCATGTCACCACCGTGTCCTGCAGGTATGTCAGTTAAGCCAATTGTCGCCGAGCCAACCATTGACTCACAGAGTAGCTGGTTATCAGAAAGGAGACGATGAGCGCCAAGGCACTTAAGTGAACCAGAAGCGTAAACATGCGCTTCAGCATATGTAATAATGACCAGGAATCTTTAGAGGTAAGAGTCGCCTTTCCTATGCTATAGTCGTGGACCCATAAGTTAATTGTGGCTTTGCTGCGGCCTAGCGCTGGTGATGCAGTGGCGACTGTGCAGCGCCCATCAATATCTCAGGTCTTAGAAGATTGTCAATATCTTATCCTTGGCAAAAATTCAATACCTACAGCGATGGTCTGCACCAGGCCTCCATTGGAGTGGCGAAGAGTGTCAAGTAGCTTGCCTGTCTTCCTTTCAAATACATACACTGATCCATTGTCGCTTCCTCCTACAATCAATCTTCCTTCTGCTCTGAATGCCACCTGTTTGGGTACTGACACACTCGGAGGAGCAGTTATGAATGTTCGAACTGGCTCCTCGTTGCCGTCAAGTCGGTACAGCGTAAAACCGTCTGCTGCATTGTCGACCATGAACACGCCTCTCTTCTGATTGACGGCTGCGTGACCGCTGACAGAATGTTAGTGATTTGTATATTGATCGTGAGCTGTGGACTGACATCACTGATTTACAGGTATACTCCTTCACCACCGTGCCGTCGTCGCCATTCAACTTGATGAAATTACCATCGTACAGTCCAAATGCATAGACACCTCGGTCGTCTGCAAATGCGACAGACTTAGGTACTGTGTTGTCTAGTTGCACTGAAAACACAGCCTGCAGTTGCGAATTTGTGTTGAGGACAAGGACCTGAACTATTTTGTCCCTCGTTCCGATTGCTATCCGCGCACCTGCATCGGAGGACGTCGGATCCCATGACATGCAAGTAATTTCAAAGCCCGATCCGAGTCTCCTAACGCAAATCTCCTGAAAATGCATCTGTTGATGTCAGGCGAAGGCCTAATGATGAACTAGGATTCTCTTACATCTATTGGGCTACGCCACAAGAATGCCACGTAACCTAAACCGGTTCCATAACAAAGTGTTTCCGCCATGCCTAGTCTTGTGGTGATCCAGACAGCACAGCTGACTGTACCCCGCGACTCGCAGTTAAGGGGAGAGCATGTGAGTTCTTTTCGTGATCTGGTATCCCAGAGTTTAACGCCCTCGGTGCCTACTTGTTTGTTAGCACCCTGCCATAATTAGAACACATGTGAGTTACCACCGCATGCAAGAGCTTGGCCATCATTGGAAATTGCAAGCGCATGGATAGAACCGCCATAGGTAGAGAGGCACGCTCGATGTTGGAAGTGTTGCATTGATTTCGTGAAGAGTGACCAGGCAAAGAGAGACATTGTCACGTATAATCTTATCAATTGTAATTGCCAGCTCATTAACTCGCAGCCTATTTGTATAATGACTCTATTTGTTTTAGTAAACTTTTGTTCATGATTCCATGGCGATCATTTTGCTGACTTTTGTGTTTGGTTTTTTCATGAGCAACTTAGGGCCAATCTTATATTACAGTCGTCTATTAAAATCCATTGTACTTTCTATTCTCATCTTTTTTGTCATCGCCATCCTGGACAACATATTTGTTGATCCATAATTGGTTATTGTTTTAACCCAATATGGCAGTCGAGGTGGTGCCATACTCATAAATCTTGCTAGAAGGTTACCTTCGTTCATACCCGCTCACATCGCCACCGTCATGTGCAACACAACGATACCTGTCTCTCCCTTCTACGACCAAGAGCCTGGTGCTCCACCACCGTTTCCTCCCATGCTTACCGACCAGCTTGAGTTATTTGGAAGTACTCATCACCCAACTATACTCATCTCCGACGAGATTCTCCCTGCCAAAGCTAGCACCATCGTCCCACCTATTCCTGCCCTCAAGGGCACGCCTGAGATCAAACTTGCGGCGCCATCATCCAAGACCAATCGTTGTTTCTCGCCATACCCGAAGAGAGTCTCATTGGAGCGGTTTTCTTCTCGGTCACCCGTATCTTCCGATTCTTCCGACTCCATTGATTCGGTGTCAGACAGTGGCTCATCTACTTCGGCCACGAGTCTATCAGAAGACTCAAAGATACCCAAGCCCCCTGGCGAACCTGGTCGTCCGTGGTGGGGAGGATACACACTCCAGGAGAGTTTAAACTGGAGTCCAAAGGCATACACGAAATTCAAGGTTAGTGACATGTTCTCACTGCGGTCAGCTGCTTACTAAATCAACGCCTCAAGAAATCTATGCACCACCTTGTCGAGGAACATCTCGATACCACAAAGTGCGCCTCTTCCCAAAGCCCTGCGCTCCTGAGATATGTGTGCGACAAAGTCAGTACACCTTCTATGGCGATCATCCACAATCTCATGATCTATTAGGCTGTTGATGCTTTCCCCGACCTAGACAACTACAGTAGTTGCTGGCCGGTGAATGATATCATCATGATGCATCTGAAATACACGTCGGGACGTGCTAGGCAGAAGGAAGCAGGGATGGCTTTGGGCAAGAGCAAGAGGAAGACACATACATCGCCTGTGAGCTCTATTATTATTGCGAAGGTCAGGGCTAATGCTAATCTACAGGCCACTTGATTCATCCTGTCCCCTATATCAATATCGTAAATTACTCCATAGAAAATGTCAGCATGATATTTGTTGGGACCTAGTCTCGAATAAGGGCACATTGAGCAAAAATTAAGCGGAGTGATAGACATAGGGATGCATGTAGAAAGACCTGAACTCGAGTTACGACTCAGCCGTTGATGGGTCATTCCTGACACGACAGTATGTACTGTCGTAAATCATTTCTCTTAATAGCTACCTCCCTCCCTTTTACCGAATTCAACCTTGCTACTCTGACCCCACAGGCCCACTGATCGTCGACCAGCCATCTACGATGGTATGTACCGTCGTGTGCGTTATCCTGTGGTCACTGTTATAATGTCCCTCGTTGTTTGCGTATCCTTCATGACAGCGCCCTCTGGGCGAACCTCATTCATTATTTACTACAATCATTATACAATCACTTTCAAGTATCAAACTACCGCCTCATGAAACCTGGAAACCAGCCGATGGTTGAGCCGAGTGCTTAGTGGCTTCACAAACGTGAGAGTGCGTGGGATCCTTGCTCGAAAATGATGTTTAATGTATCGTGTAAATCTGACAGGTACCAGATCAACGAGGCTCAAGGAATGACCATCTACTGAACTCACTGATGCATGATAAAGTCAGCGAGCACATTGTCCCTGCCTCGCATATTCACAACAGAGCCACTGCTAACGCCAACCCTCATCACAACTGCGTCACCTCAGAATATGTGTTCTACGCTGCTAAGAAGGGGGTTGACTCCCAGACGACAGTGTCGCTTGAAGAAGATGCAAAACTGGTAAATGTGTCTCCCTTCATGTAGGGTAACAAAACAATTATGCACGTAAGGCTGCACAGCAGCGTAATTCAGGAGGCTCTCAACAACGGGAAAGCGTTGGGCTTTGTGCGAGCAATTGGAGCATCGTGTTGTAGAGAATCATGCCTCTCATGGTGTGATATGGTAGTTTTCACTAAGAAGAACATAGCACGAACTCATAGCATCACTCTGTGTACTATCCACAGTGATTCCTATATGATGCGCAACTTTCCCACGCAACGCGCGCCATGCGCGCACCATTCCCGCGCTTCGCGATGTATACGCGCGCGCGCTTTCCCGCGCTTGCGCGCCCTTTAGCGCCAGCCATCCAGATGCATCCATCCACTGTCCACCATGTTCTCTAGTGCGTATATTTCTATTTCTCTCATTGCATATTATTCCATCTTTATTTTTATCATGGACTCTCACATATATATATTTTTACATACCTACTCGGTAGCGCTTCGGCTCCGCATGACTGCGCTTAGGCGCGCTATATAAGCGCCAGCAGTACATACTATTACTTTACTGAACTTTCACCTCTCACTTTACCTAGTACTTACTACCTAGAAAGTCGCAATAGAACTCTATTCCTTTACATCTCGCACTCTTCTCTTATATTGCATTATATTATCACTTAAGCTTAGTCTCTCTACCATTTCCGCACGCGCTTTCCCGCGCTTCGCGCTAATACGCGCGCGCGTTCCCGCACCTGCGCTTTCTCGTGCTTCGCTTCGGCGCGTACCTCTAGATCTTCGCTGCACTTGCTTCCCCTTAAGGGTCGAACGCACTTGTCTCCTCAAGCATAGCAGACTAGGCAACACTCGACCTACGACATTTTTAGATACAGTTAGGAGCATCTTTTGTTCCTAGCAGTATTGTTGTTTCTACAGCGTCAACATAGTGACCTGGCGAGGTTTACTCCCCGACGCAGAATACAGCCTACAATGCAAATGGAGCTCTGGAGTCTTATACAGCTGTCAGCGAGGATCAGGAGTGAGGTGAGGTAACTTACAAATGACGTAGGGAAGATATACCCGCGAGTGTTGACCATTGCAGCAAAGGAATGACAAAAATAAGTGACAAGGCGACCAGCGCTAAGGATAACGTGAGGGAATGGGCGATGAAAGTGGGCGATGAAAGTTGGATTTTATAGTAGTCCCCCTTTGAACCGAGCACACCAACCACACACCCACCGTACACGACTTTGAACCGAGCATGACTTTGAACCGAGCACATCGCACACGACAATAGCTATTGTCTTGATTAACCAGGATATTAACTACGACAATAAACAATAAGTGTTGACTTGTGACTTTTTGAACTCAAATTAATTCAAAGCCAAACCTAATATATTCCTTGTTCAATCTCAATCCCGACTCATGACCGAAAAGCGCGCGATAAGGCTGCATATAAAGTAAAGACATATACGTCCAAACCTAAATCACAATTCCTATTGCCATGTCAGTACGAACACGCTTTCTTCCGGAAGATGTTCAAACATACAATGATGTAGGCTTATTTGACGATGCCATGGAAGACGATACAAGTCAGCCTTCCAATATGATCATCAATACGGTACCTCCAATTAGATCAAGCGGGGAGATAGACCAGATGGACCTTGAAGAGACTGTAGAGGATGTCACAAGCCCGCCCGCCACAAGGACGGTTCTCGACAAGAGGGAAAGGCTGCATGTACAAAAAAAGCAGGTCGTCAATAAGGTACGACTAGTACAGAGAAGTTAATAACTAGCTCAGTCTATACAGACATCGGACAAGCGTCGCATTAAAGAAGTCGACTACTCAGAGACATTGCGCCAGACCGTATACAGTCAAGAGGAGCAGATCAACACTATGAGGCGTGAAATGCAGATGGTTCATAGTATCTTACTGCAAATTACCAATATGTGACAGTGGCCGTAGCAAAACGATATAAAAAAGCAGTGGGAAGCAGCTCTAAGAGAGCGGGAAGAGCAACTAGAAAAGGTCCACCAAGAACTCGAGGTAATTCCTTTGCAGCGTTCGACAGACAATGCATGTTGACATCGTGGCATGGCAGGAGAACCACGCTCAGCAGCAAGAGAACCACGCCCAACAGCAGAAGCAACTTGAAGATTATATCAGAGAAAGTCGCGAAACACTCAGCCAGGCGAATCGCGAGGCAATAGACGCTGGCATGCATAAAATCCTGGAGGAAACTCACGAGCGATTTACACAAGAATTGAGGCGGCGAGAAGCAGAGCTGGGTGAAGAACTGGCCAGGCGAGAGGAAGAATTAAGGAAAAGGAAAGAAGAAGAGGTGAGCTAAACAACTTAACAAGAAAATGGTTCATGACGATCAAGGTAGTGTCGAGAACAATCGAGTGCCATCTTCACGGAGATGGAAAGGAGACTACAGCATGAAATTGAGAAGTTGAAGGTGAGAATGTTGTTTCATAAACTCACAGGCAATATGCTGAAATCTGCTTGAATGCACTCCAGGCGGAAAAAAGAGTGAGCTGGCCAGGATGGAACAACGATTTGCCAGGCGTCACAGGGTACAGGACGATGATATAGAAATTGATAATGACCCCCCTCTGCAGAGAGACACAGGGCAGTCATCCGCACCATCCGCAAAACCGTCGTTAGGTACCCCATGCCTTGATGCGATTAGAAGGATAAAGAGAACTCGTGGAGTATCACGCAGGACTCGCCTTGTATCAATAGTAGCAGAGGTAAGGGTCTGATGCTGTTGGCTGTGATACAAGATTTGACGACAGTAGGTGAACACCGAGGAAGTCCCTCGTGAATCATCCGAAGAAGATGTACCACCACCTGAGCAGCACAATCCATTGCCTCGTGCCAGCCTCAGCATGGAGGATGCAATCACAAGAGGTGTGGAGGCTGCACTGAGACGCGTTCTCGTCGACAAAGAATTTTCGGGTCTCAAAAAGTGCAGTCCCCAGAGGAGAAAGACAGAGGAGGAAGAAGTACAGCGTGAAAAGGCAAGTGAATCAAACTACGAAAGAGACTTCCTGCTGGTAAGCCCAACATCATATAGAAGCTCCCACACTTACGGCGAAGTAGGGAGAAGTGCGGCGTCTCTTCAAAGATATGTTCAACATTTCTCAAGATGCTGATTTCATAGCCCATGAGGCAGCTCGTCATGAAGATGTGTATTCATATGAATATGAAGATGGCCCAGGTCCTGATCTGAAAAACCTCGCGTTCGATACCAAGAACAGGTCCAAAACCCCCTGGAATAGTAGAATCATCAATCTGCTACTTGGAGAATTATGGAGAAGGGGCAATGAAGAGAGGTGGCCATTCGCCAGGTCAGAGGCGTATTTCAGGAAAATTCTTCAAGATCGCTACAAGTGACTGCGTATGGTCTGGACGTGTGCCCAGCCTAAGGTCACGGCAAAGGGTGTGCTGGAAACTCCCGCGGAGGTAGAGGAGAGGTTAATCGTGAAGAAGGACGAATTATTGAAGGTGACTCGTCAAACGACACGTCGCAGAAACATATGCTCGCAATATCCAGACGGTTCTAGCACTGATACTTTCTCAGAAATATCTCCGTAGAGCAACAGTTCTTGACCATCTCGTTAAGCAGAAGACCGATGATAAAGAAGAGGACCTCCCAGCGTGGCAGTGGCTTCAGCAACTAGTGAAGACGTTGGGAGAATGTGGTATGAGTTCGGAAGAGAGCGATTTGGAGAATGATATTGAAACAGTCCTTCGGGTCAAGAACATGGTATGGCGTCGTGCGGTAGAACGCAAATTGGATATCGTCGATCACCAGAGGCTTGCGGATGATGATATATTCGCCCCCCAAGGCTCAAAGCCAATGAAAAGGATACGCGCAGCCGGGAATCCGAAGACCTCCAGGGTACCAGCTGAGGAATTGCCAAAAGCCTTGTATAGCGAAGAATGGCTCATGGGCCTCAGCAAACGTCAGGTCGAGAAGTTATCAATCTCAGACAAAAGATTCAAATGGATGCAGGTTGCGGTAGTGTAGTGTATGTATTGTATGTATGCTCCAAAGGATGTAAATCAATAATCAATGTGTCAGGTAACAAAAGGATGACTCGATGACACGATGGTACATACCATCGTGTGAGAGATGAGACCATCAAACTTGGAGGTAGGCAATGAAAGGACATGCGACGGTACATACGGCGGTTCACGCCGGGAGTGATGTGGAAAGTAAGGAAAGTACGTCGAAGGTCAAGGGTAGAATCATATTAGGAGAGGTCGGATTATCAGATTCAAAGTGACTACAAAAAGATGAGCACATAGTGCTACAAGTAGTAATACAGGAGTTGCTAAAACAAAAGATCAAGAACCTAGGTAAACAAAAACCCGCAAAACAATTGGGAGCTGAATATAAATATGTTGCGAGCAGGCAACTGACTGCCAGAAACTGATGTGCTTGAAGGACTGCTTGTCGTCGCCCGGTAACTGCGTCGACCACAGGGTTTTAGCTGAGCTGAAAATGGTCAGGCGAGGACAATAACCCGACACTTCTCAGCAGTACAGACCGCTGGGTAGTGGGAGGAAGACTTGGACTCGACTCAGACTCGGCAGTACATACCACCGAGCATTCAGAGTTGATCAGTCGAAAAGGACTTGGTGGTTGTGTTGAGGCTTGTTGATTGCATAAGTTAGGCTTTAGTCACGTGAGTGCAGTTTACTGCTCTCAGCGTAGTAGTCATCCTTTATTGTCCTGGCACGATGGTATGTACTGTCGTGTTGTCGCTTGCCTCTGTTTCTTCCATTTCTATGAGGAGCTGACTTCGACTGCTGGGGCCTCATCTATCATCGATAATATTTGGCATGACGGTATGTACTGTCATGCCATCCTTTCGTCGCCTGCCTCCACCGGACCTTTATTCCATTTCCGTTCCCGCGTGGCTACGCTCCTTCTGGCAAATACTCAGAACGTTCATCCACATTCGTTTATCGTTATCGGCGCCCATGTAAGTAGGCACGTTGTACTTTGTCGCCTTGCTTTCCTTGTAAATTTTACGTTGTTGTGAGTCGCCCCCACTTTGTCCTTGTTCTTTTATCGTATTTAAATGGTCATCCCGGTCTTTACTCTTCTAGACTTAACCATCACCCATAGACGACGGTACATACTGTCATCATTCACCTGATGCCTGCGTCCCGTCCATCGCTCAAACGATGCATGTGTCAGGAGTGTATTACCAGGGGCGGATGCGACGAATCAGGCGCACCAAAAGGAGTGTTGATGGCAGAACACTTAATCGCTGCTCATGTCCAGCGTGTAAAGGCTGAACATGCTGAGCCCGCGGCCGTCACCTCTAATCTTTCCGCATGCACCACCGCTGGCAGCAGCATCGCTCCATCCCATGTCTGTGTTCTGGCGGATGAACTCGGGCGGTTAACATTGTCACCACCATTGAAGTCAACCCGCAAGGGTGCTGGCGAGAAAGTATCCAAGAAGGAACGCGATCGGCGAACCATGAGGGCATTAGATGTCCTTGACAACATCGAGTCCCGAATTCAACGGATCTTCCGCTTGCTACTGGATTCTGGTAACCTTAATGACGCTGGCCCATACCATCAAGAATATCAACTACGAGACAGTCTCCAGGCTCGGCGCCCTCCACAGCGATTGGACCGGACAAATTATGAACGCTGGTCAGGTCCACGTCTCTGATATCATCGCTCGCTATCGGAAATAGTCGCCTTAAAGTAGATCCCTATGATGGCGAGAGCCCATATACGTACTGTCGTTGTTACCGATTTGTGCTCCTGTCCAGTCAACACATTCGACGTTGAACACCTGTGCAAATGATCGAACATAAGACAGGTGTATATATACATCCAAGGGCATCGTGACATACCTGTCCGGGCTTCACTGTGGCAACGGCAGGGATATCTGGACTGCGAACAGGGTCATGGGATCGATTGTGGAACGAATAGTGTACTAACTCACTGCCAGCAGTTGTGCAGGTTCTGAAAAGTGTTAATAAATGTTGTAACTAGGGCGAAACGTGGAACAAACCTTCTGTTCTCTTGCAGGACTTGCAATTAATCGACATTGTGAGATAAAGATGTGGATAGCATCAACCTAAAAACCTACACAAAAGGATCAGCCTAGGGGTGCAGTGATCAGTTGTCAACTTTCGCCGGTGAACAGGACGTAGTTGCGTACCGAAATCAAAGTTGGGTGAGCTATGGAGTTCGCGACAGTTGCCATCAGTTAATCGCTTTTTTCTTTGTGATGAGGCTGGTGATGAGAAGGCTGAGTTGAAAGGAAAGGAACCTCATAGTGATTGGAGCCAATAGCTTATAATGGCTCCTGATAAGACTGGCGGTCCGCGTTATACCGCAACCGTCTATCAACAATGTGCCTCATAGACGAACTGGTCACGAGTCTAGTTACATGGGTGGGGCCAGTGTCACAACAGACGTCTCAAGTCTCATGCAAGACTTAATTTTGGACCACTTACTTAGTAACGCCAGAACGGAGCAGCATAATTGAGATTCTCACCTGCTATCATGCATCCGCTCTCAGATAATTGCGAATTCATAGTTTCAGGTTGAGTCCAGGACGTGCTTGATGCAGTACAGTGACTACAGTCTGCACAGACACCGTACGACTTTGACAGATACGTTCTCAAGAATTTGACCATCGTGCGAACCTCGAAGATCAGGCGACTTGCTACGATAACACGAGAGACGTGGGTATGGTGAACCTTCAACCGACACTAGTACTGTCATGGGTGAGCCCATTTAAAGAAACTTTGACTTGCCGTACTCAGTACGGTGCACACTGTGACACAATATGTGTGTTTCGAAACTTTGACAAGTTCGCCGCGGCGACATTCCAATCTTGTACTACGTATACACTGACATCGCAGCCATCTGGCGACAGTACTGACAGGTGAGCCTACGTTAGCAACTTAACAGTATGGTAGTTATGTGATGTGCAGATCAAGTATTCGATGGCAGAGGCTCGATATCAAAATATCTCTATGCTCACTCCCAATCATCACGCGGATAGATATTGACTCGCAACTGCGGCAGTCTACCCAGAAGATTCATCAAGTAATCCACCTGTTGCTCCGAAGGGATGTCATCCTCAACATCATCGCACACAGATACCAAACACCTCTCCATCGACATCTAGGAACCGAGGAGGCGCGCCATTTGTCCTTAGCTGAAAGCAGCGTTCAACGGCTAGACCTTCGAGGACGACAGTCTCATAGATGTACGCGACACCTCCCATCCAGAAATATTTATCAAGTGAAGGGTTGAAACGATCTTCAGGAAGGTGTGAGTGTTTTCCAAGTTCGACGAGACTGCTGATTTGCACTTTTGTTGGGGAAAGTTGGATTCGAGGGCGGTAGAGTTGACTGTATTTCAGCAACCTGATTATTGTGTGTCACTGACTTGAAGGAGCTAGTATGGGCAACATCGAATGGACTTACTCTCAAACTCTACATCGATTGATGCAGACGTTATAGTGTAGGACTTTGTGTTGTTGAGAGACAGAAAAATAGGTCTAAAGTTAAGTAGCATCAGGTATAATGCTCACTTCTTCAACGTTTTTTTTTAGTATTTAACACATGATTGAACAGCAAATGACGTTGCTTGAGGCACAAAGCTGGCGCTGCGGGTTCTCAAGCAAGTCATGGAGGAGAAACTACATCAGTAAACTACAAGACCATCACAACGTTTAGTCGGCACAGGCATGTGTCTCCCTGCGTTCTCTCTCAAATATTCCAATTTCGCCACAGGTCACGCCACAGGAAGGATTTGCGATATTAGATGAATTACAACTGAAGGAAATTATTGACGCCCTGTGATGTTTCAGGTAGATGACAATATCAATCAGACAGCCTCGAGACGTGTCTTTTGCTAACATTTGGTGATCGCAAAACCTGGTCAATGTTGAGGCATCATACAAATGGGAACAGCGTAGTTGTAACTTCAACTTACATAGTTCTAATCAACTGTAAGGTAGACAATGAGAAGATTGAATTAACACCTGCGAGAGCACATTGTACTGCACATCACAACGAAGTAAGCGAAGTGCAGGAAAAGCTAGGACTATATCATGTAGAAGGAACTGCAGATAGGAATAGATGTGTGCGTGGGGCATTGGCCTTTGGCAATAACGGGATACGCCTAGTCTGTTGTATTTCCAGACCCTTGGTGGAAAAGTACCTGCAATTCCAATCGGATTGAGTGATGGTTCATACCAACGAGAAAGTCTTGTTACCTTTGACTCTCGTAGCTCCAAGAATGGTTTGCTCGAGCCCAGTTTGCTATTCCGTCAAGGTACTCCTTGACCAGGACGTCGACAGAAGGCCCCCACGATGGAACCTTCGCAAGACCGTCAATAAATCGTTTCTGAACTTCAGCGTGATAATGTGCTGCCCAAGCCATCGCACTGCCTATGTCGAAATCCAATTCCGACATGACAATACTAATCAAATTATGAAATTCGTTCCCAGCCGCTTGCTCCTTGTTGTACGACATCATGTCCTGTGAAGAATATCAGCAGACCGCAAACTACGACATCCTCAATACCACTTTACATTGTCAATGATTGTCAACTCTGTGATACAATCAGCAAGATCCGTGATGACGGGATGGTAGAACACTTCATCAGGGAAGTCCATTCCCATTTCATAGATTAGGAAACAGGGTTTTACGCCCACAGTTTTCTGTCGGAGCTTCAGGTAGTCATCAATACCGCGCTTACAGCCTTGTTCACGGTCAAGAGCCTCGACAACTACTCCATGAATATATTCATCGAAGGTTTCAAGGAAGTGACGTTGAGAAGGCAGGCTTGCGAATTGGATTGCATGGACCCAAAATCTACCCAAAAGTCCCTGGGGCGTCAGATAACCCCCAAGGAAGTTGGAAGCACTTACAATCGCGCGACCTCGCTGAGAATGCATTCGCCTTCTGGTCGTATCTTAGGAGGATTGTGTAGAGCATCGAGCACGATGTCCACCCTTTCCTTCGTGACTGCCTCATTTTCGCAGTCGGTGTACTCCTCCACAAGGAAGAGAAAATTCATCAAATCACAGCCGATTTGAACGGATTCTATTCAGGAACGGAATCAGGGTTTTGTGGTGCGTCAATTGCCAGAGTACGAACCTCTTGGTGCGTTGGAATAAGCCAGTCCCGTTAGGAGGGCTATAAGAAAAATGTGTTAATCATCGTCAAAATTGAGGGCTTGTGACACAGGTCGCACCAAAATCACATTTGTTGAATGCTTCTTGTGACTCAGGACTCAGGGCCTTGAAATCACGGAATGAAGCATCAACTTTAGCTTTCACATCTTGTAGATGGGAATTGACGGTACGAAGCCAGGGCCAGTGAATCATAGTGTCTGGGAGGTATATCGTCTTTGGGCGAGCCTCCATAGCCTTTGAAATATAGTTTCTGATGAGTGCAAAAGTTGAAAGAGGGACAAATTATCGCTGGTCCAGTCCAGAGCTTCCAGCAGAACTTATATACCTGTCAAAGTCAGAATCGGCCTACTTCAAGTTGACTTACACATACACATTAGATGAATGTGGTGAACACTCCACCTATGTTGGTGTCTATCGGATCGCCGGCAGAGGGACCGGCGATGTGATCCAGTGGCGCACAACGTAAAAACGTTGGGAACGTTGGGAACGTTGGGCCGGCATCATTTAATATTCTTCTGCCTTCTAGTATCTCGGGGCTGCTTATCAATCGAAGTAGATCACGGTAATCCACTGAACCATTGGGTAGAATATCATAAACAGTCACAAACCACGCTTTCGTTTTCAAAAAAAAAAGTTGAAACTATGCCCATAATTATCCCGACGCCACCTACAATGTAGAGGGCAGAACCGGGAAACTCACTGCAGAAACGAGATTTTAACTAGATCCTAATCAGAGGAAGATAACGTGTATGATGCAACTCTAAACATACCTAGTTTTGTAATCAGACGTGAAGCCGATGCGGTCGCAGAATTTAATCATTCAGCCTAAAGCAACTCACCTAAACACTCAACGGTACCGGTATGATACAGGGTCCCGGAAGACATGTGCCACCGGGTGAGATGGTAATGCCATGAAAAGCGGAAACCTGCAAGTCAGTGACCATTACAATCATGGAACGCCATACCAACACAAAACAACTACTAGTATACAGCATCGTACGATTCATGGTTCCGGAACTGAGCTGGTAACGAATCACATTTTGACGAATGGACTTTCCTACCACCAGGGATTATCTGGCTGAGTAGAAACAAATAAAGTCAGACCCCTCGAGACTATCACAAATGTTGATGTTGCGGAGGAAGACGTTAACAAGTATTAAAAAGGAATTGAATTTGCATACGGGTGTTGTCAAACAAACACAAATACATTATCATGACCAGGAAAACCATTATCATATGATTCACCAGGGCCCACTATGTAGTATGCAGTCTCATTCCGCAAGTGCATCTTGTTGGGGCATAAATAAATCAAGGAAGCTAAAAGCCACAGCTGGAAACTCTCAACGTTTTCGGGTTTTTCGGCTTCCCCGATACTCACCCCAATTCTCACACAAGTCCCATAGCCTACTGCTCAGGCGCCCACACCTCACCCACCATGGCAATACATGCCAACTTTTCCATCAAGACCAGCCTTTATATCACGGTCCAAATGTAAGTACTCTCTTCTCGTCAGTTGCCTGAATTGCTTGGCAATGATATTATTCAAATGGCAACATGATGCACTGTTCGGGCCGTTGGATACCGGGCCCCATCAAGCAGATAGACAACTGAACGATCTATTGTGCAGCATATTGACATTCTTACCTTTCAGTTCCCTTCTCCGTTGGGCTTGTGCTGGGCAGCTGGACCGGGTCAATATCGCGAGCTGATGAAATGTACCCTGGAAAAATATTCGTCATCACCCAGCCTGGAGCCAATTGGGTTCCCTGTTGGACCTTTGCAACGAATACTGTGGTTGCCTAATCAGGATGACCTTATTGTCAAGCCCATCCCGGTCCTACCTATCGGAAAGGTCGTGGCTCACCTAATGTAGTCCCACATGTATCCGCTATTGCTAGCTTTTTTATTGTTTACGTGTCAATGCATCTCTGGGCGCGGCAGACTTGGTTTCTGTGACTGGTAAGTCTCGGTCTGAAAGTTATATTTTGGTGACAATTAGGCAGGGATATGCGGGATTTTGTAGAGTTCTCTGCCCCCGTCGAGTCATGGTAGAAGGATATATAAGTCTTCAGAAACTGCGACTTCTATGAGCTTAACCAACTTTTACCTCTCGTCCATCAGCAGTTCATTCGGCTACCATCTCTCATACAACACCTTCTACTCATAAAGTCACCCTCGTCATTCCCAAAGTGCAATGGACTCATTCTCAAATATCCTCGCCATGTTGTCCGTTTCCAAGGTCGACGATAAGAGTAGTAATGCATCGTCGACACCAGTGGAGGAGGAGTCACAATCAAGCTCTGGGGGTTGTTACTGTGTCATTGCATGAACGCGTTGTATACTATCTCATTCACATATGAACGTAAGTGGTGACATTTATTTAATCTGCGGAACGATGGCTTACCATCGTTGGTTGCAGCTCTAGGCACTGATAACTAACACAGTGCCATATCCTCTGTAGTGTTTAAGCTACAGCAAGGCTTAAAAGCTTAATGGGCGATACCATTTTAGTTTACTTATGGGAAACACACTTCGTTCAGCATGTTTCGACTTTTGCTCACCATTTTCGTTTTATTATTTCGTTGTGTTCTTCGGAACTACTTTGATATCTCAGATGCGGGTACAGGAGATACATTCGAGACTGGAATATTCTGGTAAACGCACATATATTTATCTATAGCACCAGCTGGAGAGAATGGGCAATTTGTTATATCTATTTCCCGCTAGCAGCTACCCTTGCTAATTTGCAACTAGTATACTGCCGAGCCCAAAACGATATGCACATACTATAATGAGCATGTACGATTTCCACAACTTCCCCTAGTGATACAGAAGGATACAAAGCGACTGTCTTCGTTCGATTAGTCAGACCACGGGAGAGTCGAGACTAACAACCACTTGTGTTCAGCATGACCAATCATGCAGCTCTCGATCTCTATCCTCTTCATACCTTCACCGGGTCGCTCATATTTTGCCTTCGTATGACCACGAACAAGTGCCACAATGGGCTGCTCAGATGGTGTATCAACCTGGAGCATAGCGAACATTTCAACCGACTCGGAGAAGACACTGCGGTGCTAGGATTCAAGATAAGTCAAAGTCTGACAGTTGTTGACTGACTACAACGGAAGATGTATAACAGCCCCTGTTCAAGTTCCCGGTCCCTTAGACCTCACAATTCACTCTGTATGGCGGTTGTTGATATCTCATTGCCGGCGCATACCGTCTGCCCCGCGATCTGTCTCGAGAAATATATTCAATCAACGCACATCTGAATATAGGTGGATATTGGCTAGATGGTGAGAATTCAAATGCGTACAGTGTGCTGAAACTAAATGTGCATCAGTGCAAGCATCGTAACCTAGACACGAAACCAATAGGCACCATCTTTGGCGAGGGCGACAATCAATCAAGTTGTGCCTCGCACAATTTGTCGCAAATTGCAGGCCTCCGTCGAGCAGCCACCTTGACTTCATTCTTCTCCATCTGCATAGGTGAGCAAGCCACGCCCGAAAGAATGTATCTACTGAGGAACCAGGTCAGGCAGAATGCAGACATTCGTCGCCTTGCGAGCTAAGGGCTGCACACGCATAGAGCATGGGCGATGAATAGGATGGGTACGTGACGAGCGGCTACGACCAAATACTGACGTGGAAATGAAGGTTGGAAAGCGAACGGTAATTTCAGTGGGGTACCAATGACCATGCTGTAGTTGCTATCGTCAAGCGGATGAGACGATGCCTCCGATAGCGTACATTTATTCTTGCGATTCTTCGAGTATCCACTGTCATGATTTCGATCAAATGAGGAGATACCGCCTATGTCTGCTGGACTGTGAGTTGTAGTGGCTAGCTAGAAAAAAATGTTACTCTGTATGAATGCTCGTGACGGGGAAAGATGATGGAGTACAAATTGGAGTTGATGTGCGTGGGACCTGTGCCCTGATATCGGGAGCGGGGCGTGAAGGCTGAAGCGAGGGCATCATGCGTCGTGCGACCCGGCGCATTCAGCGAATGTCGTGCAAGCACTAGGAGAATAGCACATGAAGAAGGTTGAAAGTATTAGTAGGTAACTTAGGTTGGGGGTTGGAGCTCTGGAGAACGAAGGAAACTGTTGTGCTAAAAAGATCATCGTTGTCATTTTCATTTCTTCGTAACCTGAATAAAATGTTTGATGCTCACAACGCAATATCCAATTGCAATAGTTATCCCAGGATGTGGCAGTGCGATACATCCCACGGATATAAGTCGAATAAGGCCACATGCGTGGCAAAGCCCGCTACCGTACTCCTTTCGCACGCCTTTATATTCTGCTGAAAATAATATCTATTCTGCTGTGCTATCGCTGCGTACTAGCTTATATAAGTACGTACCGCCACGGATAAGGTCATTCGCGCGCTATAATCCCATACATCATGTGATATATGGGTCACGTGCCAGTCGTTGATCTTGAGCTTGAGTCTCGGTCTTTCTTTTTTCAACTCGGTGTAGAACGGTTCAACCTGGTTGGGAAGTCCTAGTATTATCCGCATCCCTCAACTAGGGAATATATTCCACCCTTTTACTTCAATATCATCCTTGCTCAAAAATTCTGCCGGTGAGGGCAAAATTACCGTATCTGATGCCATGGTAGCCAAATGCCTGTCAGACATCTACCGGTGATGGTAACTCAGTTTTCATTTGATTTCACTTCTGCGGGGGAGAGTCCTGCTATGGCTGGAGGTCTCCGTGCGTTCTCTGTGATCCCGTAGAAGTCTGTACTACACATATCTTTTTTTTTTTTTGCTTTTTCCTTCATTTCGTGTCCATTTCATTTCACTTTGGCGGGTGAGAGCTCTGCTATGGCTGGAGGTCTCCGTGCGTTCTCTATGATCCCGCCGAATTCTGTATTGTAAATTATTATTGATTTCGTTGTTCCTTTTTTCTTTAATTCACGTACTTCGCTGCCTCTCCAACTAAACTCGTCAACCTCTGCTGTGAGAATCATGTAACTATCTCCTTCCCTTATCATCCTTCTCGTCATCTGACCGGACTGGCTCGCGCAGAATGATTCGACGGATTATGTTCGCTCCAGGACTTCCCTACTTCCTCGCCATGTCTAGCATGACATCTGGCAAATTAGTGAAGACATTTCCAAAGTATCTGCTTCCCTTGCACCTGCTCCAACACTCTCTTTATTTGGCGCTTCCCGCGTCAGAGGGAACCACCTTATCAACGTCTTTTCTGAAGTATTTGCAAATCTTAACAATAGATTGCGAAGATGGTCAATCCAAGCAGGCGACAGTCTGCTCGTTGTGCATCCGTTAACTGCGAATGGCAATGAACTGGGACGCAGACCTCCTGGCATCCAGGGTTGGGCAGTTCGCGTGTGGCCTGACTGCCTCCGTTCTCAAGGCAAGTTCTAGTGTTGAATGTTTACTACTCAACTAACAATTATTGATACTAGATTACTCATGTCCTCGGATCTTCTGTCGTGTTGGTGGATGTGGTCACCGAATTTCTGGATGTGCATTCCAATGAACCCTCAGAGCATGTACTGTCCGTTGTAAGAACCACTCACCACGTCTCACCATTGTCTATACTCATCCCAGACGTAGCATGAACTCGTAGCTGGAGGGCGTTACGGGCCCATTTTGATGACTCGCAATGGCTTGTGGAGATATCGCATGGGTGATGTTGTCACCGTTCAAGCCTTCGCTCCAGATGACGCATTGCCCGTTATCAGTTACCTTCACAAGCGAGAGTGAGTTACCGCATCATTGATTGCAGGAGCTGAGCTAACTTTGCCCGGTTTGGAAGAGGTGGAAACATAATCTTCAGGAGCGTCATTCGTGATGCTAGGTGGGAATGCATTATAATGCTGCCGCGGAGAGCCTTCTACTGACGCCGTCCAGTGTAGCCTCCTCCTTTCCATCTCACGCCGGGGCTCTATGGTAACAAAGGATGTGTACTGGCTCGCAAGCTGGTACTCGAGTCCTAATTGGACAATTGCCATCTCTCGAACTTCCTCATTCATGGTAGGCGCCACAGGCCTTAAAAGTGGTATTCTACCCTCTTCCAGGTGCTTAATGAGTTCTTGTGCAGCCAAAGTATGAAGGAGTGGAGTTTTATCCTCGAACGGTTGATTAACTACTGTGACTGGTACCTGGAGACAAAGTATGCCCATCCGAAAACATGCGACATGGTTACCGATCCATAGGGTGTATAGCTTCAATGCCCCGGTGGCCCGAACCACGCCAATCAACCACGACACTCTCGATTACGCCCATCCGAAAACATGCGACATGGTCACCGATCCAGAGGGTGTATAGCTTCAATGCCCTGGTGGCCCGAACCACACCAATCAACCATGACACTCTCGATTACGCCCGTCCGACCAGCGGTCAGAAGCTTTGCACACTTTCTAATCCTCCAATCTAACATTCACCTCCGCTCGAGCGAGCGAGGCGCTCGCACGCGGCCGATGCGACATGGTCACCGATCCAGAGGGTGTATAGCTTCAATGGCGTGTTTGGCCTGCAGCTATCGACAACCGCTGAGACAACCTCGAATGGATCGGGGTTTGTGGATGACTGTCTCATCGTTAGTTTGGGTAGAGCCTCAGGCGACATCAGACGCACATTCGAGTCGGACGACGGTTCAAGTGTTTGACTCTGGATAAGATTTGTGTGACCACTCTATGACACCGCGCAAACATCCCTTCTTTCAGAAGGTGCTTCACTCCAGGATGTATGCCACCACTAGTAAGGGCAAATCTCGTTCCGCTACTGTTGGCTTGTATGGCTTGTACATTCAAGATCTGCACAATTAACTCAATGTCTAGTTGAAGCTAGAAATTCAGTTTACAAGGTCGCCAGCGAGCTGTTGTGTCCGTCACTACACCGTGATTCAGGATTTGAAGAGTATTTCACTCTCGACTTCTAAAGTTCAAACAGACTTCGGACTGACTCGACTGCATCTTCGCTACTTAAAGAATATGGCATCAGACTCTGAAGAGCTTGACATTGTCCTTTCGCCACCTACTCATGATAACTTGTATAATTAATGTTACTGGCAACCTATCTCGCCTACAGAGGAATTTCCATAACATTTTGGTGCTGGGATTATTTTCAATATGAACGATCATATCAGACGAATGAGATTTCTGTCTTACCAAAAAATCGATAACAATGGACTTGATATGCAATTTATATATCTTCCGTGAGAGAGTATTGCGAGGAAGACGTAGACGATTTTCGAGTCTGGTTCGAATCATGCGCAAAGTGAGGTGTCTAAAAAACTTAGAAATATATGATGCAATGTCATTGTTGAGACATAACTCACCTCCACTCATCGTGAGCAAAGGCGTCATAAAGCAGATCAAATGCTGCTTGTTGCACGAGAAAAACACTGGGTTCAGCACAGATGTGGGACATCGTGTCACAAATAATTGATATACCAACGGACTCATAACTACATGGATATTTAAACAAAAATAGTACCAAATGAAACTGATTTCGAATTATGAAAATCAACGACTCAAAGGAGTATAAAATACATAAGGAGAGAATTCGCGATCTTGTTCACGACAATGAAAACCTCCTAACAGCCATCCATACATCTCTTTCACTCCACATGGCATAAGATCAGAAGAAGATATAGGAGAAGAAAAGGAAACATTGAGACATGCGCTATCAAATGAAGTGCGAGCACGAAGGGGACATTCAAATGTCTGAGCGCATGTGTAATTCTCCGTGCATGTCCATGCGAGCCCAGAGGATGCGAATTCAAAGCCGCGATTGGCATATTTAATCAACGCACGCATTGTACGTGGAGGAAGCATGTGATGACGCGTACATGCCATAGGATTGATGAGGCCTTTGAATTGCAAGGTGAGAGCAGGATAGGCAGAGAAAATAGTTGTCGGTGTGAAGTAGTTCATAACAACCGAACTGTGGAACTGAAATATGGGAAGAATAGGGCGACCATCGCAAGATAAAACAATGTTGATTTTTCGACTGCCCTGGACTGCAGCAACTACACTCCGTACTTTTTTGCTTCCATATTTCGTTTTAGGAGGCAGGTATGGAATAATGTCATACCCAAACCGATGGAAGAATTCGGTGGCTGAAGGCCCGGATGA